TACCCTCGCCCCAGCCCCCCACCTGCCCCACGACGTACAGCTACCCACCCTGCCCGACAGCCGCAGGCCCACACCTACCCTCTCACCTGCCCCACACGGTACACATAGACCCTCCCAGTCTCCCTGCTCTGGCCCCCCAGGTAGGTGGGCGCGCCCACCAGCAGCAGGTCACTGTCCCCATCTCCCTCCAGGTCCAGGGCCAAGACCTCACTGCCGAAGTAGGAGCCGATCTGGGGGTGCAAGGGTCTGTGAGGCTGAGGGGGGGTACGAGGCCCAAACTCCCTGCCCCAAGGCCTTCAAGTCCCCCTGGCCACCCCTCACCTGCTCCCCCATTAATGCCTGGGCCACCGTCACGGTCCCCATGGGGTCCAGCTGGAAGAGGAGAACTTTGCCCTTGTGCTGGAATCGGGGGGCACCAGCCACTAACAAGCGCTGCCCCCCCGGGAGCTGCAGCGAGGACACAGAGTACCCTGGCGGGGCGGAAGCAGGGTCAGTGAGACAGACCCAGAGAGACAGGGTCCCCAGTGTGATCCTGGGCCACCCTAAATATCCAGGTTTGGAACATCCCTGGAGTATGGAGTATTCCCAGGGCACCCCAAATACACAGGACATGGAGCATCCCTGGGACATGGAAAATCTCTGTATCACCAAGCATCCCAAATATCCATTACATGGAGCATCCCCACTTCACCCCTGATCTCCAGGATATGGAACACCCCTGATTAATCTCAAATCTCAAGGATATGGAGCATATTCCTTGGGACACCCTCATCCCTTGGGATCCCCCATACCCAGATACGCTGCGTGATTCTTCAGCTCCAGCGGGAATTCTTCCTGAAACGCTTCCCAGGGTGGAACAATGCGCCCACGCTGGCTCTCCTCCAGCACACCCCCCTCCCAGTCATAGGCTCCAACCATTCCAAAGAGGATCCCATCCTGCCGGGATGGGTGGGACATGTCAACCCAGAGACACTGCAATGCCTCAGTGTCCTCAACCCCCACCAATATCACTCTCCCTTCCCAGGATACTCAGCAGGGCTGAGATGGGCTGAGGGTTATTTTCCACTTTTCTCAGTGGGATCACCTCAAGGTGGTGGATAGAAAAGCCGATCTGGGACATCTCCAGCTCGAAGGCACTCTCGTTGTCCCCATGGGTGCCTGACCAGGGGAGGAAGGAGACTCTATTCCTCCAGCTGCACTTCCAGCTGGAATTCCCAGCCCATCCTGGGATGCCGGCCTCAAGCCAGCACCTTCCAGGCTGAAGATCCGATCTCCCAGAGCATCCACGATATCATTGAGGGCAGCCTCATCTGTGACATTGAAGAAATACTTCTCATCAGGATCACTGGCAATGAACTTGATTTCCCGGATGAAATCCTCGGGATCCTGCTGCCGACGCAGGTAGTGCCCCAGGACCTGAGGGAGAGACAAGGGTCAGCAGGAGCCCCCCTGGGAGTAAGTGAAACGCAGGGATGGGGATCGGTGGAAGGGGCCTCACGGCGATGGCATAGCGGGTGACATTGTGCCGGTCGCACTCCTCCAGCGCTGCTGGCAGCTCGTCCCCGTCGTGGGACTCCCCATCTGTCACCACCAGCAGCAGCCGTGTGGCCCCTGGGCGCCCACCTTGCGCCGGGCTGAAGGACTCTGTGCTGTGGGAATGTGGCTGGCAGAATGAGCCCTTGTTCCTCCTAATACTCCCCCCAGTCCTGACCAGCCCTGCTCCCAACCCTGATCCTGGTCCCAACCCCAACCCTGATGCAAATCCCAGTCCCAATCATGACCCCAATCCCAAACCCAACCCCAATCCAAATCCTGACTTGATCCCAAGCCTGATACCAATTCCAATTCCCATCCTTTTTCAAATCCCAACCTAGACCCTAATCCCAATTCTGATCCCAACCTAGCCTCACTCCTGATCCCAATCCTGACGCCAATCCCATTTGCAATTCTGCCTCCATTCCCAATCCCACTCAAATTCCCATTCCAGAGCCCACCATGCCTGACGGATGGCCATGGCCGTCCGCGTCTCCCTCCCCTCCTGACGCGTCAGGTTCCGGGCGGCCTCGAGCAGGCTCTGCGCCGTAGGGTGCTGCCCCAGCGCCCATTCCTGCACCAGCCGCTCCCCGTACTGCAGCACCCCCACCTGAAATGGGGAGAGTCAGAGCCAGAGGGAGCCCCAAATCCACACGGACATCCCTCAAATCCCCAGGGAATACCCAAGTCCACAAGGACCCCTCAAATCCCCAGGGTGCTGCCCCAACACCTGCTCCTGTACCACCTGTCACTGTATGGCAGCCCCCCCTAAAACAGGGGGAAACCTGAGCCAGGGACCCCCTAAATCCCAGGGGAACCCCTAATCCCTGGAAAAGGGAACCTTTGGCCCCTCCAAAACCATCTCCAGCTGGCATAGTCCTGGGGACAACAATGTCACCCCAGGGCAGCATCTCCACAGGGGTGGTGTCACCTTGGAGAAAATGATGTCACTCCAGGGACAATGACATCCAGCCCAAGGCTGGCATCACCCCAGGGGCAACAGCATTGCCCTGGAGACAACCACCTTGCCCTTGATGGTGATGGGGACACCATCCCAGCCTTGGGGACACTGTGGTGGCCAAGGTACCATTGCCTGACCTGGGTCTGCCCAGGACCAATGAAGAAGCGCCCCAGGATGTTCCCGAGGAATGCCTGCACCTCCTCCCAGGGGTAGATGCTGTTGGAGCCGTCCAGAACCAGGATGATGTCCATGTAGGTAGAACAGCCTGGCAGGGGACACGGTGACACCAGGGTGGCACATCCCGGTATATCCCAGTACATCCCACCCCACTCACGCTGTGCTGTGGGTGCAATGGTCCCCATGAGCTGGAGCTCCTCATTGAGATGGACACAGCGGCCAGAGCTGAACACAGAGGTGCCACATTCCTGGGACCAAAGCGGGGCGCATGCCTTGGGGGGTGACATGAGGAAAGAGCAGGGGGTGACATTCATCTCCCTCCCCCCATCTCCTGCCATGCCTCAGTTTTCCTCTGCAGAGGTTCTGCTTACCACAAACCCACCATCCTTGGAGTCCACTAGTGTCATCCCAAGGTGTCCGGCGCTGCTGCGGAGCCACGGAGCTGCAGCCCCTTGAGGACGCAGGGACAAAAGCGGGGTGAGCACCATGGGGCACCCCAGGCCTTACCGGCCACACCCACCCACCTGTACCGAGGTTGGCCTTGGCACAGGAGGAGTTTTGGAGTCTCACGCCGCACTTGTAGATGTCACCTTGACCATTCCCATCCCACGGGGCCCCCACCAGCAGCCTGGAGGGACAATAGGGGAAACACAGGGAAGGACACACAGGGGACACCGTGGTTATCACCACCCCCGCCCCATTCCAACCCAGCTGCCATGTTTTTGGGACCAGGCTCTGCCTCCCACACTGCAGCACTAAGGCCGTTTCCATCTGTCTGTCCAGCCATCTGGCCACGGCCTCCTGCTGCTCCGGCCTCTGCCCTCATATGCATCCCCTTCCCAAACTTAATCTTCCCTCTCCCTGCCTAAGTTTTCCTTTCCCAAACTCACTTCCCCCACTTCCCACCGCAGTTTTGGCTTCCCACCTCAGTTTCCCCCTCCCTTCTCTCCTTTTTTGACTCAGTTTCCCCCACCCACCCTCAGTTTCCCTCTTCCCCACCTCACTGCCCCCCTTCCTGTTTCCCCTTTCCTACGTCAGTTTTCCCCCCGCTCCCTGCTTCAGTTTCCTTTTCCCCACCTCAATCTCCCCTTTCCCGCCTCAGTTCCCCCTTCTCTTCTGTCTCCCCCGGGGTCTCCCCCAGAGATCACTCACCACTTGTCCCCATTGCCACCCCACTGCAGCACCCGGTACCCAAATTGGGACTCGGGGGGTCCCTGGAAGATCCGCGAATGCCCCACGTCGATGTTGAACCCCTCACAGAGCCCTGGAGAAGTTACGGAGGGTCCTGAGGTGGGGAGGGCATCCCGCACCCCTCCAGTGGCACCCGGGAAGGGGACTGGGGTGCCCGGCACCCCAGTGGGAAAGAGGAAACTGCAGGGAAGAGGGGAATGGAGAACCCCCAGCACCCCAAACCCACATCCCCGCCACCCAAATTAAGTCCCTAGCCTCCCCCACCCAAAGTCCCACAGTGCCCAGCACTGCCCACGTGCCTCAGTTTCCCTCGCGGTGGGGAGCGTGGGGGGCCCCACTGGGTTGTGGGGGCATGAATCTCTCCCCCCTCCACCGGGGGGAAGGGGGGATGGAAATTCCCTTTTTGGTTTTTCTTTAAAATAAAAAAAAAAAAATATTTTCCATTAAAGCCGGATTTTAGGTCCACTTTTGTTCCACCCTCACTCTACCCCAAATCCAAGGAGATATAGTTGTCTTCTCCCTCCAAAAAAGCTCCAAAATATATTGGGGGGGGGCATTGACCATAACTGGCCTGTTTTATCCCAAACCCTCCCCTCCCCCAAGACATTCAGAGAGGGGGGAACCACGCTTGGCTGCACTCGGATTAATGAGTACCCGGCTCCACACCCTCCCTCCTCCAACAGCCCCAAAACACCCCAAAATAGCCCAAAACCAGGGGATTTGGAGGGGAGGGGGGAGGTAGGTGTGGGTGTTACCTGGGAGCAGAAACAGCGCCAGGAGCACCCCCCGGGTCCCCACAGCCCACATCGCCGTGCTGAAGCTCAATGGTGACTCTGGCTCCAGCCAGGACAAAATCCTGGGTTTTTCCCTTTTTCTTTCCTCTTTTTTCAGTATATTTTCCCTCCTCCTTCATCTTCAATTGGCTGCTAAAAATAAATGTGGTTTGGGGGGGTGGG